CAAGGACGGAGCCAAGGGGGGACCTACGGGTGCCACGGCCCCCCCAACAATTTTAATTTTTTTTTATATACATATATATTACTATATGGCACCCCCTATTTTTAATATAAACTCATATGTATAATTAAATGAATAACCCAAATTTATTTTTTTATTCAACTTTTGGACTTCTGGTACGGCCTGCTATGTGGTATCACTTTGGAATTTATTCTCGGCCCCCCAGTATTGAAATCCTGGCTCCGTCCCTATTGGAGGTAATGATAAAAATTCAAATCTAAAGTTTGTTACATTGACATTTTTTTACATGTTATTTTTTTATTTATAAAAATTATAATGAAAATTCAAACTTAATTCTACATATACTACTATAACTTCACCATGAGGATGATCTTAATGGTTCACATATGTCATATTACTAGATTATGTCATTAACATATCCATATCTCTCATATAACTTGATAAAACAACAATATATTTAAATTTTATTTTTATTATTTTATTTTGATCCATTGGACAGTCATGTTTACTTGTCTTTATTGTGAATATATAAGTTGTGTTTATACGTTTTATTATAAAAAATAATAATAATAATCAAGGGAGTAATTTTTTTAAAATAAGGAAATAACTACCCTAAGCGTGTAGTTCAGCGGTAGGGGTTGATCCACCCTTAAGCAAGGTCAGGAGTTCGAATTCTGCCTTGTATATGCAGCCGCGTTAAATCTTGGATACTCTAGGGACAAACAAAAAAAAAGGAAATAACTAATTTTTACAAGAATGAATTTTAAATTTCACTAAGTTAAAAATTAAAAATTTTAATAATGATTTTTTTTTAAGTGTGAAAAGAACTTTAATATTTAAGGGAAAGCATTGTATACAAATTTGTAAGATACAACCAAAATCTACGATAAATGATGCATCAAGCCTACATTTTTAATAAATTTCCATACATTGTTTCATATAAATATATAAGCTCACCCCCTGCGGTTTTATTTTACACGGTATAAATTTTCTATTCATAAATTCACATATAATATCAACGTATAAGATGAAGGAAAAAAATATAATAGTTTACATAGTGAGAAAAAAATAAATGTTTTGAGTAAAAACCTAAATTTAGAAATTATTATTATTTAAACAAGTGAAAAGAAGCATTCATGTATACGTGCATATAGTTTAAAAAAAATAGTGTTATGACACGTAAATCAAGTGAGATTATGTATAATTAGAAAAAAAGGTAAATTAACCTTAAACAAAAAATAGAAATATCAAGTGGTTGCAAAATACGTGGATAGTTATATATTCTATAACAAATATAAAAGGTAATAACCTGGTTTGTTGTACATATCTTTTAAACAATTTTACTCTTTAATTTTAAAATAATAAAAAATATTAAAAATTAATTACTCTTATAAATATAAGACTCAAATTTAAGATCTTGAGATTTAAATCTCAAGTGTAACTTTAATTATCTAACAAACATTTGTAATTCTTAAATACATTATTAGATAAAAATATAAATGTACAGGGTATTTTAACTCCACTAGTATATACAAATCGTGGTAAATTGATTTGGTACACATATTTTTAAGATGATTTTATCCTTAAAATTTTAAATAATAAAAAATAATATTAAAAATAATTATCCATACAAACACAAAAACTTAAGATTTGAGAACCAAGTGCAATATGAGTTGATCTAATAAATGTTGATAATTTTTAAGCACTTTTAATTAAATAAAATTTAGAGACTAATTACTAATAAAGTGATTAGTTAATTTTTTGGAACATTTTTTTTTTACTCTTGAGATATATGATGGTGGAAAAATGAATAACATATGTACTATATATATAGAGGATACCTTTTCCTGGTTTTTACACTTTTTTAGACATTTATACCCTTTATTATATATTGTTTTTCCACCATCATAACTCTTAAGGGTAAAATAGAAAGAAGAATATGTATAAAAAAAATTAAATGTTCACTCTATCAATAATAACTATCCTTTTATTTTATAATTACTTTTGTCTCTATTTTTGTTTGACATTATTTTACTCTTTTATAATCATACATCATCTCATGATTTGCATGTTATGAACTCTATTATTTGTATTTTTATTTTATATTATTTTTAAACAAAATATATAGAGACACAAAGTATCATGATTTCACTAATATATAATAAAGGAGTGTAAATGTCTAAAAAAATGTAGAAACCAAAGGAAAGTATCCCATATATATATAATTAATTAATTTTACCTTGAAAGATATAATGGTGAAAAAATAATTAATAAATAATAAAAAGATATAAATGTTAAAAAAAATGTGGAAACCAAAATCCTTTTATATAATAGTAGATGGACAGAGGCATTAGGTTTCTCTAACTATTAGACATATAGAATATTAAATGATTGTAAGTGATTATTCAGAGAGAATAAGATTTTTTTTTATTTACATTTGAGAAGTATAATGGTCAATTAAAAAATGGAGACAAAATAACATATATACCATGATACCCCATTTATAGTAGGTATAGATAGATAAATATTTATATAAACAAATTTATATTAAATTACATTTGTTACTGTTAATTAAAAATAAATTCCACCTAATAATTTATGTCAATATGACTTATGGTAAATTATTCATACCTGTGATGCATGGGTGTTTTTGTGATGAGTTACTTGTATCTCTACTTGATTCAAAAGTATCATTGGTCATTTTTGTAAACCTAAACTTTACATGATCAAATACCGAAAAATATAAGAGAAGTTCATGGAAATTGGACTTGTTTGTATGATATATTAATTTTAACATTACATGCAATTAATTTGTAAAAAAAAAAGTACAAAACTACAATTAGGATATATTTTACAATATATTTCTTGATAAACAATATGAATAAAAATATAAATGTAATGTTAGACAAAATAATATTTATTTAGTAAAAAAATGTTATTAAGATTTAATATATCATTTGGTCTCATAACTTTTTTAAATTTTTTAATTAAGTTCCTAATTTTGTATATATATATTTGGGGGTTACGTTAATCATTTTTTCTTTGGTGGTTATTATTGTACACATTATTCAAATGTCATATCAACTTTTTAAATAAAAAATATTTTTATATTATTATATTTTTAAGTTCTTATTAATGTTTTAAAAAAAATTAAAAAATTATTAGATTTTTCGTTTCTTCTTATTGGGCTTCAGTATAGTAGCAACCCCTTCTTCTTATTGGGGCTTCGATGCAGTTTTGTTTGAGGAAGAAGTTTGACGTAGATTTGATAAAAAATTCACAGAGGTTCATAACGTGTAGAAGGAGATCGGAGGTTCAGAACGCGTGAAAAGAGATATGAGGGTATAACTTGGAGGGGGCGGAAGGAGATCATCTCTCCTCCTTCGGGTTTGCCTTAGTATTTATGCGGTGGGGTGTTCCTCCTCCATTGTGAAAGAAAATGTAAGTCTTTTGAGTTTGATGAATACAACAATAACGTTTCAAGCATCGTCTATCCATGGCAATGATTTTCTTGTATTCAAATTAATTCTTCACCAAATTTCATGTTAATCAGATTGGTTCTAACCGATTCATTTAATAGGTTCGAATTTTTTTATTTTAAAATTAAAATGGAATCATACTAGTAATAGAACTTGTAAATATTATAAAATTCAAAGCACTCTTATGTTTATTTGCCCTGTTTCCTAGCCTTTTAAGTGAACTACAATCTCATTATTAATGTGATGGAAATGGTAAGGAGGAGTGATGAATGTTCTTCTCCTTAACTCTCCTTATGCATGGATCTTCTTCAAGGAAATAGAAACCAACGTGATGAACACTAGATGGAGGAGATTCTCGGATAGGAAGAAGGTTTAAGCCTTGGATGGAAGCATCCAAGCTTAAGGTGCAAGGGAAAGCTCACTTCAAAGAGGAGGAAATCCTAGAAGGGTTCCTAAGGTGAAGCTTTCTCTCATGGTGACTCTTGAACGAAATTTGGCTGAATAAGCTCTCAAATTTCATTATTCTCAAAAGTGAATACAAAGAGTGGAAGAATCACTTAAGTAGGGTTCCAAGTGTGCAACTTTGGGCGCCTAAATCCAAGGCTACATGTGGCGCCCAAAATTTGAATTCAAACTTGAAATTTGAATTCAAATTTTGGCTCCCATGTGCTAGTCCGAAAATTTAGGTGCCTAGATGCATTTAGGTTTGATTTGAGAGTTATTTAGGGTTAATTTGAGTGGCACATGTTCAGCCACCCATGGTGCTAAACATGTGACTCAAATGTAACTTAAATGACTTCCAAATTAAACCTAGTTTAACCTATTTTACCTATTTAAGTAATTCTTGTATATTCCTAATCTAATGACCTAAATACATTGGTCAAACAAATACAATGGAAAGGAAAAATTACAAGAATGAAAATGAGCCCAATATTGGGTACCAAAAGCCCAAAGGCCCATGAAGCCCAAAACTAGGCCCAACAAGCCTAAAACCTAAAATGCTACTCTATGTGGTCCAAAATACAAGACCAAAATATATGATACCTATACTAACATGATGTATACAAAACATATGAAAATAGCTATAACAAAATATGGCCCATGAAAAGTTCAACTTGGGCCTTCCCAGGCCCATCAGGCCCATTGGGCCCTGACTGGCCCAAACTTTCATGTCTAGCCAACTCCTCTTGGCTCCTTCAATATGTCACCTCTTGCCTTCCTAGGCATGATTCCATCATAATGCCTTGCAAAATAACAAAACAACTTAACATTACGACACTAAGGTAAGGCATGGAAAATTTGTTCATGATAAGTTTGACAATCTATTTGAAGCTACAAACACGCCTTAGTATAAAACTCCCATGAAACAAAACAAATGGAATGAAAGACATGGTTAATTCAAACTCAGTTTGTTGAAGCAAGACATACAAAAGCAATGGAATTGGATTTAGTGCAGTCAAGTTTGTAGTCATTCATTGTACTTACAACCGTTGGATATAAATCAGATTGCAAAAAATTGAATGTAGAGAGAAGCAAAGCAAGCAATACCATTTTGCATGTGAATTATGAACACAAAATTGGACCTAAGACCTAAGAAGGATGACTTGAAGGCACAAGCTGATCTAGGATTTGAGTAACCTCAATGTCACCTTTCAACATCTTCAAAGCATTAGCAATTGTTGGCCTTAAAACAACCATCACATGAGATCACATAATTCTCACCAACAAAAACCTCTCCATTATGCTATTAGGATTTGACTTAAGAAAGTTCTCATCCTTCACCAAGGAACCATCCAATGCATCTTCTATCTTCCCAGCCTTTACCAGTGACCAAACCCAATTTGTGATCAAGTATGTTTTTGATGATTCGGATGAAGACAAACAAATAGACTTCCTTCCACACATTATCTCTAAAATCACACCAAACCTCACAAGAACATAAGCACAAAATAATAATGAACATTAAATTTGAGTGCTAACATAAATAATAAGAAGAAATAATAATTTTTTTTAAATTATAGATGTACATATTTAAATTTGGATTTCTAAAAATAAAAAATAGTAATTTTTTGAATAAAATAAATAAAGAATCAAATTAAAATATAAAAATACAAAATAATGATGTGATTAAACATTAATAATGTAGCAAAAAGTCAAATAACACTTTCAAAATCTTTCCAAAATGTTAAGACATGGTAAAATTTCGTGTTTATGGAAAAGTGGTAGCGTGGCACAAGTTGATTGGACGGGAGGGAAAAAGGCATGAAAAGAATGAAAAAGTTCCCGCCAAAGCTGAAATTAAATGATAGCGAGTGTGACTAGTTAGTAAAAGAAATATATATCTATATAAAAAAAAAAAAAAAAAATTAACGTGAGATGTGAAGTGGACTTATTATTAAAGTATTGGTACTAGCGGGTTTTGAACGACTGATCCTGGGCTATCTATCAGAATCAGAATCAGAATCAGAATCAGAATCAGCACTGTCAAGTGTCAACATAAGGCATAAACCCTAGTTCACCTTCAGCACCTCCCATCGCCCAAAAATGGCTATGGTTAAATCAGACCTCGTCCTCATCCTTGACTACGGTTCCCAATACACGCACCTCATCACGCGCCGAATCCGCAGCCTCTCCGTCTTCTCCCTCTGCATCTCCGGCACCTCCTCTCTCGCCGCCATCACCCACCTCAACCCCTCCGTCGTCATCCTCTCCGGCGGCCCCCACTCCGTCCACACCCCCGACTCCCCCTCCTTCCCCGACGGCTTCCTCCCCTGGGCCCGCTCCAACGCCGTCCCTGTCCTCGGCATCTGCTACGGCCTCCAGCTCCTCGTCCAGCGCCTCGGCGGCCACGTGCGCATTGGAGACAAGCAGGAGTATGGAAAAATGGAAATCTCTGTTAACCAATCGTCTGCGCTCTTCGCCGACGACAAAATTGGTAAACGACAAGTTGTTTGGATGAGCCACGGCGACGAGGCCGTCACGCTCCCCGATGGCTTCCATGTCGTTGCACGCAGCGACCAGGGCGCCGTCGCCGCCATTGAAAACCCCTCCGCTAAGCTTTACGGCCTGCAGTATCACCCTGAGGTAATTTTATCAAAACATCATTTTAATTCGATAAAATTTTTATTTTGGTTCGTGATCTCATCTAACTATTGGGTAGTAATTTTCTTGCTTGAGATGTTTTCATTAATTTGTTTATAAATTAATTAATTTTATTACACTGGTAAAATTACAAGGACTATATAGACCTGTTAAATTTTTATAGGAACTAAAACTGGATTTAAATATATTTTATCGAACCAACTACATTTTTATTCGATTTAATTTTACGTGCCGGGAGATGGGGATTAATGTTGGTTGTGGTTTTGTGTAGGTGACGCATACTGAGGGAGGAATGGATACGTTGCGGCGTTTTCTGTTTGATGTCTGTGGTGTGGAAGCGGGGTGGAAGATGGAGGATGTGATGGAGCAGGAGATAAAGGTGATTAACGATACGGTGGGGCCTGATGAGCATGTGATTTGTGCTTTGTCCGGTGGTGTGGATTCCACTGTTGCTGCTACTTTGGTGCATAAAGCTATTGGGGATAGGCTTCACTGTGTGTTTGTGGATAATGGGTTGCTTAGGTATAAGGAGAGGGAGCGTGTGATGGAGACCTTTGAGAAGGATCTTCATTTGCCGGTTGTGTGTGTGGATGCTGTCGATCAGTTTCTTACCAAGTTGAAAGGTGTGACGGATCCTGAGACAAAGAGGAAGATTATTGGGAAGGAGTTTATTTGTATTTTTGATGCTTTTGCTCAGGAGCTTGAGGAGAAGCTAGGGAAGAAGCCTTCTTATTTGGTTCAAGGGACTTTGTATCCGGATGTAATTGAATCTTGCCCTCCACCTGGTAGTGGGAGAACTCATTCCCATACCATTAAGAGTCATCATAATGTTGGAGGCCTTCCAAAGGACATGAAATTGAAACTTATTGAACCGCTTAAACTTTTGTTTAAGGATGAGGTATTACTTGTGATCCATTAGCTTGCTTGCATGCAGTTGGATTCTCATCTTATGTTATGCATTGATCTTTGTTTTTGTTGCTGTGTGTATATAGGTTCGTCAATTAGGGAGGATCTTGGATGTTCCTGAGGGCTTTCTAAAACGTCATCCATTCCCTGGTCCTGGTCTTGCAGTGAGAGTTTTGGGTGATGTGACTGAAGGAAATGCTTTAGATATTCTCCGACAGGTACTGGATATTTTGTTCTTGTGTGTTTGTAATATTGATTAATGATTGTCCTTCAGTGTTGAAGTTTGAAAATTGTTTTCCCAGGTTGATGAGATCTTCATTCAGTCAATCAAGGATGCTGGCCTCTATGACTCAATATGGCAAGCTTTTGCAGTGTTCTTGCCAGTTCGATCAGTTGGAGTTCAAGGTGATCAAAGAACACATTCCCATGTTGTTGCACTCAGAGCTGTCACAAGTCAAGATGGAATGACTGCAGACTGGTAAGATTTCAACTGTAGTATGTTTGGCTATGCTGCTGGATAACTTTTTTCCTTATTACTACTACTTCTGAATGTGCTCCATTTGCAGAATATGCCTCAAAAAAAGCATATTTGGTTATGCTGTGTTGCTGTAGCATAACGTTATTTGGTTTTTCTTTTCTTTTAATGGAACCAAATTACCAATAGTAGGTCGAACATGCTTCTAGTATTACTATCGAATGCAGCAAATAAAGTTTGGCAAGCGTGTTAAGCGGTTCCTATTATACGACAGAATATTCTGCTTTTCAATATTGTTGCATGTATATTTGATACAGGGGAAGGTGCTTGTAACAAAGTATAAGAACTTCTACACCTACTTGAGACTTTAAGCAACACCTAAATAGATAAGAAGTTTTCAGAGATAGTGGTGTTACCTTATCATCTCGTTAAGTCATGTCATGATGTTGATTAAAGACTAGGGCATTAAATTCTTTGCTGAAAATACATCAGTTTCAGGGCACTTATGTTTTATTTGTGATGCAAAGTTATTCCATTGGCTTCAAATAATCTTTCCCTATTAAACCATCAGAACTGTTGCTCATGAAATAAATTGCAGGTATTACTTTGAGCACAAGTTCCTTGACAATGTCGCCCGAAAGATCTGTAATGGTGTCCGTGGTGTAAACCGTGTTGTGCAAGACATTACGTCAAAGCCACCATCAACAATTGAATGGGAATAATATCATATTTTATGTCTTTTGCTTTACAGAAGTAGTGAGGTACTATGAAGTTGTATATGCGCTAAGGCACTCTTTTCTTATTTGATTTTCTTGTCTTCTTCCCTGCATGTATATGGCATGGAGGGAAGTTATGGGAGGGGGAATTTCTAGTGGGAGTAATATGATTCTTGTGATTGGAATAGCTAGAATTGAGAGGACCATAACCTAAATTATTACATTGTAATGATTTTTTTGCCCCCAGGAATCAATTTTATAAATGTTGTAGTTTTGGAAACCGAATATCATGGAACCGGAACAGTAGTCAAAACCAGAGAAATGCTCACATTTTCTTCAAAGATTTATTTGTGTTGCCAAGTCTCTCGAGATATAATAGCTATTTTCTGATAGCGTGTAGTTGCACTTGCAAGTCCTTGTCAAAGAAAATAAAATAAAAATTTTAAGTGGTGTTATTCTTATTCCATTATAAAAAATTTCTACAGACTATCTTGTTGATGTATACTATCAACGAGGTTCATAACTACCGTGCCATTGGTCTGATTAAATTTGAACTTGGATTTTTTAAGTAGATTTTGAATTAGCGTTGCAAATGAAAAAAAAATGTATTCGAAAAAAAATCTCATTAATGGTTAGTTACATTTTTTTTTAGTAGAGGTTAGCTGATAAATATTTCACATCTATAATACGACTCTGAACTTAGTTTTGAAGAAATCATTCTCTTATGGTGTAAAAAGTAATTCAATAAATTTTATAATTAATTTAACGACTGAAACTCATTCGTCTCCCTTTTTCAATATTATAGATTCTCGTCATTCTTTTGCTTCCTTCTTGAAAGGAGCATTTCACCGGCTATCCCCAAATCATAAAATATCTTTTTTTAGTTATCTCATTATATTCTTTTATATTTATATATTTACAATATTTTCTTGACAATCTATCTATTTTAATTTTAAAATATAAATTTTTATCACCATTTCAATTATTTATTATACATTTTAATTATAATTATATACAAATAAATACTCATCATATACAGCACACAAGTTAAAATACTAATAATTAAAATTAGAGGATAATAAACTTTTAAGTTGAATTCATAGTTTACTTTTGGGAACATTATAATTAGAGTTAATCACCTATACACTGCCAGTGTAAAGTTAATAGTGCATTTTCTATTTTAATTTAATTAAATGAACAAATGACATGACACTATTAACAGATCTGATTGGTTGTTAGTGTAAAAAAACTTTACACCGGTAGTGTATAAGTGATTAACTCTTATAATTAACTCTCTTAAGGTTTTCTTAAATGACACTCGTATTAAAATCTTATTTTGATGAATATATCTACTTAAAGAAATCTCTTAGTATTAAAGATGAAATTTCTCTAACGAATCTTTACTAGTATTCACTTTAATAAGTAAAATCCCGAATCAAATCGAGTATTATTGAGTTTTAACTAAGTACTAAGTAGACAGTAATACTTAGTTTTATAGCTGTCAAAACGGGTAACTCGACCCATATGGCTGACCCACCTTGACTCACTTTAAAAGTGAGTCAACTCAACCCGGCCCACTTTTAATTTTCTCAAAATTTTCCTAGCCAGGCCTGGCCCACCACGGGTTGGTGGGTTATACGGGCCAGCCCACCAACCCACCAAAAAATTTTAAAAAATTTATCAACAAAATTCAAAATTTCAAATTAACTATAAATTAATATAATAATCATAAAATTAACATTATTAATAGTCATATGTCATAACTCATTATACAAAATTAAATGTAAACTATTATAAAAGTCCAAAATAAAAAATTTGAATGTCCCATTATACACAATTAGCTATAAACCGTAATTAAATTTCAATTTTAAAAAAAAGGTGGGCTGGTGGGTTGCTTCACTCACCACAGGTTCAACCCGGGTGAGCCGGTGAAAATGGGTCAAGTTGAAATATACCCATTTACTATAAATTTTTATTTATTTATTTTGGCCCGATCCAGCTTATTTTCAAGGTAGGTGGAGTTGAGCTACGAGCCACGACCCATTTTAGGAAATAAGAAGATTTGAAAATAAAACTCATAGGAAATAAGAAGATTTTAGGAAATAAGAGAGAATTTGAAAATTTGCATACACTTTAGGTTTAAACCTGTTATTCAACAGACAAAAATTATAAAATAAATGAAATAATGCAATTGTATGTACAAAAAATCATGTTGCACTGATACAAGTGTAATTTACTTGTACATCTTAGGAAGCGTATTGCGTGGACCAAATATACGATTTATTCAATAAATGGTAGCTAGATAATCCTTCCAAAATGCTTTATCATCCCCCAAGCAAGTAGACATAGGTTCATTGCAATATGTCATGGTTATGATATCCATCTCAGATGCAATTTCCAATACCAGATTTTCAAGAACATCTTTCTCCACCTCTATTGCAATATCTTCTGTGTCAACTTGGATATTTAGCCATGAACCACGTCTTTCCAAGTCCTTTTCAACAAGCTGTTCTAACCTTAAGGGTGATGGACAAGGGTGAAAGTGCAAGTTAACTAGTTCTGTAATCTCTTTAACCAGAAGTTTCTTCACAACATATGCTTGGACGTTTGGATTTTTTGTTGAAACATGAGGTGGAAAACCATAGTTCTGGTATACATTTGTGAAAGTTTCGATGACACAATCAAGCAAGATTGTACCACCAGAAAGTTGACGAGTTAGTTCCTTCAGTTCAACAAAAGTGGATGGATCCAGTGATTGGTCACATGATCTCTTCTGAGTAAGTTCATCACATTTCAAGTTGAAAGCATGCAGAATTTTCCTTACATAGTCTAATATGTCCTTGGAGGAGGTTAAATTGTTCATTTGATTCAATGAGAGTCTTATAAGGTCTTCAAAATGGTTCTCTTTAAATTTATCTTGCATTACTTGTACCGGTGGCTCATCTGTGGAAGTCCTAAACTGTCAACTTGGCTTGACAAATAGAGTGAAAAGGAAAAAAAGTTGAATGTGTCCAGGTTTAAAATCATACCTGGTTGAAAGATGGTGATTGGTGGGTTGGTAAAATCATCCTTAATAAATTGCTCAGCAACAGATTCACCACTGGGGTGGTTAACATCGACTACAGTATCTTTTGTTCTCTGACTGAATGTGAGGCTTGATGAAGCAACATCTTGTGAAAAAAGCAAAGCCTGGATCTCTGGATGCAAATCCTAATCAACTCGAAATTTCAATATTAACATCCAGGATAAAAAGACAAAAAGGTTGGAATAATTTTGATGGATTTGACTAAATAACGACGGTTGTACTTGAAAGGCAGAAGTGTGAAAATATTGTTACTTGTAAAATCAATATTTGAGATTGTGATAAAATACGTGTACAAAATAAAAATTACCACCCCATTTCTATATATAAAATTCAATTATTTAATTTATCATTATAAAAAATAGTTAACTTAGTTAATAAAAATAAATAAATAAATAAATATATATATATACATATTTATATATTTTTTCTAAAATTACCTTTGTATCATATTTTTTAATCTAATTAATATTCACACATGTTTTCTAATCAATTAGAATATATATTTTTTAAAGAACTTATAAGAGAATATATTTTAATTAGGAATATTTTAGTCTATAAATAATTTATATATGAGATAATATAAATTAAGTCTTATATAAAAGAACAAATAATTATTTAAAATTGGATCTTATAAATAAAAACGAAAATAGTTTAACACTGATAAATATTAATTTCAACATACTCTCCAACATATTCTTTTAAACAAATACTTTACTATGAATTGAAAATTTATTAAAAGTTACAAAATCAAAGAAAGACTCATTAAATAAAAAGTAAGATCAATGAAAAATTGTTATTTTCAATAAATTTAGGGCAATAATAAAGTGTTAAAAAAATGTGATATCTCTGCATTTTACAATGTAATGTCCCTTAAAGCAACCCAATGCATATCTGATAAATGTAAAAGATAGAAGTGTAAGTCAGTTCATAGTTCAGAGTATATGTCAAAAAATATTTACCAGAAAAGATCCACATCCACTTCCTCTGATTATATTATTTAGGTCGATGTTCTGAGTAGGGCTATCCTTGAATTTGCCATCTGGTTGAGAAAACATATCCATATATTCTCTTATGCACATATATTGTAACAGGATAATATAATATTCTTAGACTACGATAAAGAACTGATGGATTATATAGACGATAGATGAGACAAATATTTATTATATAGAGCATACCTCTTGAAATATCATAATGCGCATGTAGATTGTAGCCAGGAACACTATTTCTGAGACTAATATCTTCACCAAAAAGTTGCAACTTATCAGAATTTATATTTACAATGGTCACTGGGGGATCCTTGATTTTCGGTCCCAAAAAACTATAGGAACCATTTTCTCCTTCTTTTGGAAGCCCGGATCTGGTTCTGGTGACCATTTGATAGTTGTTGTAATCTCTCATTCTTTCAGTGATAGAACTGTGCTCACAGTACCTATGCAAGCTTGGCAAGGACAAAAGGTCAGGAAGTGGAATTGATCTCCCTAGAGAGTTTGTGCACTGTTTACATTCCTCAATTCCACAGTTTAACATCTGAGAAGGACCTTTCCTACCTTCAACATGTATGTTCAATGTATTTTGCTCAGAAGGGCCAATTGAAGTATTATATTTGGTCTTACTGCAACAAAATGAAGCAGCTTCCTGCTCCATACATAACTCAGAATCCTTCAACTTGATAATATTGTCCCTCTTCTTCAAATCAAGATATGAATTCAACCTTTTACCAGCACTAGTATGGTCATTAATTGGTGAATTTCTTCCAGCAATTTCCAATTCTTTTACTTTTTTACCATCTTCCAAGTCCTGGGAACTGCAGGAAAATTTACATGGCATTCCATCGCCTGTCTTCCACTGCTGTTCGTGTCTCCTTACTCTCATGACATGCTTTAATTTTCTCTTTATACCACTAAAGGGAAAACGTAGAGGCCTATTATCTTGTGCATTACTATTAACAGTGTTAGGCTTCAAAACTACTATTCTGTCTGAGGACTGAGGCTTACAACTTGAACTCAAATCATATCTATCAAAGGACTTGGTAGGTTCTACACATTGTGTAGCATTACTATTGTGAGGTTTATTTAATCTACTCATCCTTTTTTGCGTTGCATGCTGACAGGGTTCTTTCACTTGAGAACTCTGGAAGTCGTGAATCTGTTTTACTAATAGAGAGTTTGGATCTTGCAGAAGTTTTATGAAGAGTTCCTTGTTTGAATATAAAATCTGTAAAGCATCCAAGAATTGATTAGGCTGACAAATTGCCCCATCTTTGCCTTCATAATGTTTATTGACGAATCTCTGATCAACAATCATCTTTAGTACTTCGTTTCTCCAATCTGCTGCCTCATCATTCTCCACGCTGCTGGTACTTTTACAACTACAATCTCTTCTATTTCTGGAACTTACCTGTAGTCAGAATTTTTCCATCAGTGCTACTAAGCTATCCATTGAATAATAGGTGAGAGGAGAGGATGACACATTAGACACCCTTTTTGCTTCATCTTGTCAACTATATATGGCAATTTTAAAGATTAATTAAAACTTATAGATTTATAATGCATGAATTACTTTTCATGAAACTGGTCACTAGATCATCAAGGCTGATTTTTGAAAATATCTGTAAGAGAAGTATGGAAGGTTTTCAATGTTGTTTCTCTTCTGGTCATTGTCAGTAGTTTAGTACAAAATATAATTGTTGAGGTCTTTATGATTTAGGGTGCTACGTTATTAAAGAAAAAGAGGTTTTTTCACTTCTCCAAATCCTACACCCTACCCTTACATCCATGTATTTGTGTGCGAGAAAAAAATAGGGTAGTTATGTCAAGACAAAATATGACGGCTTAAGGAAGACGCTTCCCTCTCTGTACATAGAGAGATGGTTAACAAACTTCCTTGCCGTTTAAATTGAATTAACACGTACACTTCACGAGTAATGAGATACAGAACATACTAATTACTAAAGGTAACTAGGGACTGTATCACAAGCAACTTAAACTACACGTAAGTAAATGAGAGAAGAGGTAGGATACGTGACACTGCAAAAAGGGTAAAAACATGAAGCATTTGGTGATAAATTTCATTAAGCACAATATTAAAAGAAAGGCTCCTGTTATAACATCAATCTCGATAAGAACTTACACCAATTTGAAGGTTCTTCTCATCAAATTTGCTAAGCACATCTGAGCTACTTCTGGAGTTTCCATTCCCTGGAGCTTGGAAAACAAATTCAGAAGTTCCAAATTATAGAGGGGCCAAATTGAATACATATAATTTCCTGACCTTCAGAAAACTAAACTGATTTTATATGTATCATGTTTAAGTAAAAATATGGTAAATGGGTGCACAACTTTCTGTCCCAAAAATCTTCATTTTAAAATTGTAGCTTTATATATGATTTAGACTTTTACTAAATAAAACCATCCTTTCTGAATAAAAGCTATAAGAAAAAAAAACACATACCATTAGCCTGAATATTCAAATGCCTCCTACTGGAAACCAATCTCCTCTCAGAATGACCTTCACGAAAATTAAAGATTTTAAACATTCGCCACGTACATTTTGTGTCGTACGTTTGGTTAACACGAGGAGGAGATCTTCTCGCCATTATAAAGATTGAAAGCTATTATACGTGATCTTCTAGTCAAATTTAGTGAAGATATCACAAAAGTCTGTGCAAAAACAGAAATAACGAAAGGTTAATCCCTGGAAATTAAAATTAACTAGCAATGTTCAGCTTCAGAATGTCATATAAACAACAACTAGAAACATCAGAATCTCAAGTACTAACCCATGATCAGTTTCAAACCCCACAAAAAGATTAAAACATAAATGAGTTCAACTTTACAATTGAATGATCATACTTTCTAAACTAAACAACTAAACTCATATTTTGATTGATCTACAACCAATTGACAAATTGACATATTCACCCAACCACCCAACAAAAGTGAAATAAAAGAATGAAAAGTAATCCACCTTGTCTGTAGAACACAAATACATCAAGTCTAAAACCTAATGTGACTGAACTCTGACTGAGACCCAACTCTGAATGCAATCATTAATTCCCATATTCCCCCCCCCCCCCCCCCTTCTTTTTTTTTTTTCTCTTTTCTTTTGCCTAGTAAAGTCTAATATTGGAAACTGTAAGTATATAATTACAAGTGAGAGATACCTGGATATGATACCGAAATTTAAGTCGTCCTATAGAGATTAAAGAAGTGCATGATGATGTAGATCTAGAATGGAATGCAGTTATCACACAAACACAGAAACACAGGGAATGTGTCTGATTAGGACATAGAAATATTATGAGAATGAGTAGTAAACTGTAGAATAATTGGTGGTTGAGGAAAGGTTTTAGGTGAAGGCAAGTTGGGTTGGTTTGTGTTTGTTATCCAATATCTTTGAACACATATTTAGAAGCGTTTTTAGTTAGAAATAATTATTTATTTTTTAAGAGAAATTCTTAAAAACTATTTTAGTTTGTATCAAAAGACTCTTAGCACTGTACATGTCTATCTATAACTATTACTTCCCGACTTCCCGTGCAATTGCACATCCAAACCCACCCTCCTTTGTCTGTCTAGTGTCTAGTGTCTAGCATTTGTTGGATGGTGCTCTTGGAGTACGAAACGGTGTCGTTTTAAGGAATCTTCTGTCTTGCTAAGGTTGTCGTTGAGTGGTGGACGAGACGTCTTACTTAATTTGTTAGCGCGGGGAACAGGCCATGGCCCCTGCACCTGGTTTTGCTACCAATGTCAACCGTTCATGTTGGTGGATATGGTCCCGCACTCTCTTATCATGTTAACTGCAATTGATAGTGTGAATGAGATTTGTTTTGCAGATAACATGAGGAGTGTCACTTTTTTAAGTTTTAAGTTTTAATTTAGGTGCAGCAAACTACGTCGCTATTCTGGTATCCTTGCCTGTTATGGGATTCATTCTATAATAATGGCTACACAACTGACAGCTGCATCTTTTGGCCATGTTTAATCCATCACTCAAATTCTCTTTCCAAATTATCAACCCCAACAATAACCAAATCCTCTTGATATTTTATTTTACAATTGAATAAATAATATATTTAACATATTCAAAATATAAAATATATTTTATTGTCATGAAGACAATCAATTTAGCCAAAAAAAAAATCCTCATATGATCAGATTTTTAGAACCAACATCAATCATAGACAATCAATTTTGATTTGCATTTTGTAAGATGAGTTATTGATTTTATCTATTAGGACCTAAACGAGGAAATATAAAGTTTGAACTTTAAATTTAATTACAAATTAAATTTGAGTCTTTTTAACTTGATTCAATCATATCTTGATCTAGACTTACATTTAAACAAAATACAAATCAAGCTTTTTATTGAAATAGGGTTCACTTTTAAAGCTTGAAATGAATCTCAACTCTCTTTTTTCCGGCCTTGTTAATGTAATACTCATGTTGAGTCCACAATCAACTAGGTTAAAGTTCTCTCATAGTATGTTTGGATAAAGTAATTTAAGTGGGAAAAAGTATTTTTTTTTAAAGAAAATTTTAAAATTTTCCTCTTAAAATATCTTGTTTGGATACTCTATTAAAAGAAATTTAATATTTAAAATGTTATTTATTATTAACTAAAAACCTAAAATTCTAATTTCTCTCCCTCTCAAAACAAAGAATTCTAAAATTCCTCTAACTTCCTCAAAAAAAGGCAGCTCAGTCTTACATATACGTTTAAAAATTGAATGATTGAGAAATATTGGATATTAGATTTTTTATTTATTAGATTTTTTATTATATAAAAATTAAATGATTTTATATTTTTAATTTATAAATATTGATTAATATCTTAAGGATGATTATAGAAATAATTTAGAATTATTTATTAAAAATTCAAGATTCGTTGTGGTAACAACTGTTGTGGATATTAATAAAATTAATTAATAATAATATTAAGAATTTTCATGTTAAATCAAATAAAAAATTATTATTTTATTTGAATAATTTTAATTATAATTATTTAATTTAATAAAATATTTATAAATTAAATAAAATTAAATGTTTTATTTAAATATACAATTTTTAATACATAAAAAACAGGTTAAAAATGCACCAAAAAATATATAATTTTAAAAATGAAGAATTTAATTGTTTTATCCAATTACAAGGTTTTCTAAATGAATAAATTTAATTTATTTATCCAAACAAAAAAAAATTAAAACACAAGAATTTGAGCAATTAAAATTCTAAAAATTCGAAATTCTTTAAAATTATAAAATGCTTTATTCTAATATAACCTGAATGAATTGTAAGGATTGAATTTAAAATTGTTAGTCCACGTTAAATTTGTGCATTTTTTTTTTAATCTTAATCCAATCATGTCTCAATTCCAGCTTGGTCTACAAAAAAAAATTCATACAAATCAAGTTTTTCCTTGGGCTTAGGTCTCATTTTAGAAGCCTAAAATGAATGTTTGACTGTGACTCGAATCAACTCCATCCCTTCTAATGAAATGTTAACTTTAGGCTTTAGATTTTAAACACAAATTAAATTTAGGTCTTTTTAACTTAATTGAATAATGGCCTAACTTGGACTAAACCCAAAAATAATTGTATGGGTTGATCTTGGGCCTCATTTTAGAAGGCCCAGGTGAAAAAAAATGTGAAAACTAGTTTCATTTTTTAAAATGAAGTCCATAAATGGAGTGTCAAGTAACATAAATATTGGTCCATAAAGATTTGGGCCAAGATGAAGGAAAAGAATGATTGTTGGGCTGTCCATCAGCCTAATCCTTCCGGTGAATGGTGATTAAAAAAAAAATTCTAAAACCCAAACAAACCCCTTCATTGTACTCCCGAGTACCACCACTCTCTCTGAACTTTGATGGCGTTATCATTTCTTGGCGTTCCTAACTTGCTCTCTCCTACACTTCCAACTTCATCCACCGTAAAGCTCCAACACTTCCACAAACCCACACGCACACACTTCTTTCGTCCCCTCTCCCACCCCTTCGTCCGGGTCCGGGCCCCGTGGGCCATTGGGCCCGATGGCAAGTTCTACCCAAGCCCAGCCGACGACGACCCACCGGAAGCCGCAGAGGATTCCTCCCACGGCTTCTCCACCTTCCAACAAATCCAACGCCAAGCCGAACGCGCGCGCCAAATCGAAGAAGAAGACTACAAGAACAACCAAGCCACGTACCTCGCCGCCATCGCCGACGTCGAAGACGCTCCCGACGCCGACGCCTTCGACTCCTCCGAGGACGACCTCTTCGGCGAAATCGACAAAGCCATAGCCCTCAAGCGCAAGGAATTCGTCTCCCAAGGCCTTCTCGAACCTAATCCACCGAAACAAGACCAACTCACCGCCGTCGACGAACTCCAACCGGAGGAGCTCGGCGATTTGGACGAAATCGAACGCCTCCAGGGACTCACCGGTAACGGTGACGGAGGTTTGACCGAATCTCCGTTTGAATTCGATTTAGACAGTTACGGGAAAAGTAAGGTTAGAATAGTGGAAGGGAAGTTCAAGATGAGTTTGGCTGAACTTTTAGACGATACTAAAGTCGTCCCTGTGTCTGTTTCCGGTGACCTAGAAGTCGAAATCACCGGAATTCAGCACGATTCGAGAATTGTTACTTCGGGTGATTTGTTTGTGTGTTGCGTTGGACGGAAAAACGATGGACATATGTTTCTGTCTGAGGCTGATAAGAGAGGTGCGGTTGCTGTTGTGGCTAGTAAAGAGATTGATATTGAGGATACTTTGGGGTGTAAGGCTTTGGTTATTGTGGAAGATACGAATGCTGTTCTTGCTAAGTTGGCTGCGTCGTTTTATAAACAGCCTTCGACTAAAATGGCTGTGATTGGGATAACTGGGACTTATGGCAAAACGACCACCACCTATTTGATTAAAAGTGTGTATGAAGCTATGGGGCTGCGCACTGGGATGTTTAACTCGGTTGCTTCTTATGTCCATGGGGATAATAAGTTGGAGTTGCAAAACATGGTTTCTGATGCTGTTTTGGTTCAGAATTTGATGGCAAAGATGGTTCTCAATGGGACCGAGGCGGCAGTCATGGAGGCGAGTGGTGAGGGGTTGGGAGAGGGGAAGTATGAGGAGGTTGATTTCGATGTTGCGGTTTTCACTAATTTGAGTCCGGAGAAGGAGGGTGATAGAGACGCGCAGGCTAAGTTGTTTGCGAGGATGGTGGATCCGGATAGGCATAGGAAGGTTGTTAACTTGGATGATCCGAATGCGCCTTTTTTCGTGGCGCAAGGGAGCCAGGAAGTTCCTGTTGTGACGTTTGCCATGGAGAATAAGGATGCGGATGTTCATCCTTTGAAGTTTGAGCTTTCTTTGTTTGAGACACAGGTGTTGGTTAATACTCCCACGGGTATACTGGAGATTTCATCCGGTTTGCTTGGGAAGCATAATATTTACAACATTCTTGCGGCTGTGGCAGTTGGGATTGCGGTTGGGGCGCCCTTGGAGGACATTGTTAGAGGGATTGAGGAGGTTGATGCAGTTCCTGGGAGGTGTGAGTTGATTGATGAGGAACAAGCGTATGGGGTGATAGTAGACTATGCCAGTACTCCTGATGCATTGTCTAGATTGCTTGATTCTGTAAGAGAGCTTGGACCTCGCAGGATCATAACTGGTATGTTTGTGTTGGGTTTCTCTTGTTGCTGCAGAAGATTTCCTAAGTTAATAAAACTACACAATACTTATGTACATGCCTAAGTTTGAAGGCTTATATTATTTGATGGAAATATGCTTTCATTATTGTGCATGTCACAATTTCTTGTTCATTTTGAAGTCATTGGATGCTGTGGTGAGGACGACAGGGGTAAGAGACCCATGATGACCAAGATAGCAACAGATAAAAGTGAAGTGACCATGCTGACATCTGACAATCCCAAGAGTGAAGATCCATGTATGTATTTTGAGCATAGAATACAGACAATGTATGAATGCTTTTGCATGCTTTAACTAGCTGCTAAACAGCTTCAGAATCCTAATTTTTACATGCCTTTTTTACCTTTTTTCCCCAGTGGATATATTGGATGATATGCTAGCTGGGGTGGGATGGACAATGCAGGACTACCTGAAATATGGAGAGAATGACTATTATCCACCTCTTCCAAATGGTCATAGACTTTTTCTCCATGACATTAGGAGGGTGGCTGTGCGAGCTGCGGTTGCAATGGGAGAAGAGGGAGATGTGGTTGTAAGTTATTGGAGCTCTATTCTACATTTCGCCTTTTAATATAGAATTGAGCTAGGTTGTGATGACTCGCAAGTGACTTAATTGAAAGCAATTTGGTGCTTGGTACTGCGATAGGGATTTATAGTTTTTGGTTTTCTGAAAAATTTGAAGAATAAAGGACCAACTATATTCAAATATGTTGATTAAGAGAATAAAATAGGGGAGAAGCTTAAATTTATGTTTAAATTACTAAGTAGGTCCCTGACCTGAACTATCTGAAAATTTTCTAATGTCCCTAAACTAAAGATTATTTTAATGGGGCCCCTGATTATGTATTTTTTTTAATTTATACCAACACAGGTCAAGGACCCCATTAAAATAATTAATTTTTTAGCTTGGGGACCCAACTAAAAAAAATAGATTAGGGTCCTATTTGAAAATTCTCAAATAGTTCATGGACCTGCTTTGTAATTTAAACTTATTGCATGGGGATGAATCATCCTCCAACATTCAGTTTCATTTGTCTCTTTTTAGTTAGCCTTGCTTAAACTGTATTGGAGTTGAGAAAACTTCACGTTGATTGTCTACTGTTGATAATGTCTTTGTATAAGCTGTAGATTGACTGTATTAAAAAAATAACGTACCGATAGCATTACAAGTGGAGTTTAATAACTTTTATCCTCCTTTTGACATCTTTTTAAATTAATTCTTCAAGAATATCATATCATAAGTAAAACAAGGAATGTTAATTTGTGAGTTGTGATTAGTTAAACAGGGTTATACTTTTATATGCATGGTGCAGGTAGTCGCTGGTAAAGGCCATGAAACATATCAAATAGAAGGTGAAAAGAAGGATTTTTTTGATGATAGAGAAGAGTGCCGAGAGGCATTGCAGTATGTTGACGAGCTTCACCAAGCTGGAATTGATACAAGTGAATTTCCATGGAGGTAATGTCCAATGTTTTCCTCTTTTATGTCATTTTGTAACTTGACAAGGCTGGTTATTGGCAATATCAGTCTAAGACAACACCTGTTACAAAATAATAAAAGAAAAAGAAAAACACAGAAGAAGTAGAATTGTCATCTGTTGCTCAGTAAAAATAATGTTTATTTTGTTTTTGTTTCTTGTTACTGTTGCAGGTTGCCAGAGAGCCATTGATTTTGATAGTTAAGGCTGTTGTGACAAATAATGGGTTGTTCTGGACTGTTTGCAACTTAGAAGAAAAGGGCCTTTGCTTTGCGTGATTAGAGGGCTTTCCAAAAATATGGCCTTCAGATTCCATCCAGCCAAATATTGCACAGTAGGCTTAGTACAGTTTATCCAACCGTTTCTTTTTGTTTATACAAATGTAGTCATAATTTTTTATCTTCCTTTCTTTTTCCCTTTCTCCGATGTTCTTTTCCAATGTAATTCTACGTCTTCTAACTAAATTAATGCAATAGTTAGCTTCCTCTTTCTTCACTCTGTATAACAAATTCAGTCTTTATTGTTAGAGGAGGGATACTTCTCACGGGCATTTTTCTTATATACTAATACGTTCTGTATTTACTGTACATCTTACGAGTATCAACTCTGAGTAAAATTAATATTTCTCTTCAATTAATTCAAGAAGATTTATCTTTTTAATTATTGATCGATGATTCACTTTAGACGCAATAAAAAGTTAGCAACTATTGCTAAAATACTAAAATATAGTCGGTGCTGTATAATTAAACAAAATCCTTAATTGAACTTGGCCAACGAAGTGGGATATCCTATCCAACAAGAGTTTGAGAAGCTTTATATTTAGGCCATCACTCTGTCTCTGAGCATCGACAATCAGCACCAATATTCTTCCGGAGTGGGCTCTTGAGTCTTAAGGCCCAACCTATCAAAATAAATTCTCTTTCATTAATAACAATTCACAGTTCTCCATATTGTAGATATAAAGCTGATCCCAAAGAGTCAAAGTATAGCTTTTTTTTTTAAAAAGAAAAAATTGCACTTAACTCTCATAAAATATTTTTAATTCACATACTTTTCTTCTAATTTTTAAATAAATACTAACCTTCGTGACATATATAATTCTTTATATAAAATAACATTATTTGTAAATTACTAAAAAAAAGTTTTTTTTAATGCAAGTGTCAACAATTGAATGAGACTAAACATGAAAATTAAACTTGCACAAGTAGGTACCCATTTGACTCAAACTTGATTTTACGGGAAAAACCCACTTTAAGCATGTTTGGGTACAAATTTTATGCAACTTGAAAAATCGGGTTCAAGTACGAGTTCAAGTATGTATCTCTTCGCTCTCATATCCACCCTACTATATTTTTTTTAGAGCAAAAAGATAATATATATATATATGTATAGAGGAAGGTTCAAACGACACCGGTGTAACTTTTAGTAAGTGTTACACCGCTCAATAACTTTAAATGTGAATTTTGAAAATTCAACCGTTAGATTGAAAGTTCATATATCTTAGATCATATATATCAAATTTTATATTAATCTAAGATGATTTGATACTTCATTCTCATAAAACAAAATTGACATAATATATACATTTCAAAATATACTAAAATTTTGATACTTCATTCTCATAAAAACAAAATTGACATAATATATACATTTCAAAATATATTAAAATATGAATACTTTGATTACCTTCAAGTTGTTGTTCAATTTTAACAAAATTTGATATATATGATCTAAGAGATATGAACTTTCAATTTAACGGTTAGATTTTCAAAATTTACATTTAATATAAAATTATTGAGCGGTGTAACACTTACTAAAAGTTACACCGGTAAAAATATAAATTTACTTCAAATAGAAATTTTAAATTTTTATAAATATTAAAATTTGCTTAAGTAAATTTTTAGAAAATTTACTTCAAGAATTAAAAATCTGGAGGGAGGTAGGAGGCACTAGGGTGAAGGAATTTTTTCTTCTGATGAAAGCATCATCTCACAAGTCCCACTACCACTAATATAATGTTCATTAATTATTGCTTAAAACTATTAGAAAAACAAGGCCTCTTCTTGCTAGTATCATTTGATTAAAAAGCTTCTTCTCTGACTAATGTACGTCCATTCTGGCAGGTAAATTGGGTGGCAAACGATGGCCATGTCTGTCATTACCTGTACTTACCATGTCTGTTATTTTTTTTTTTTAAGAATTTATTTTTTGAAGTTTGACTAACAACGATGATTATTGATTACTTCCTTCTTTTTGTTTTAATTTTTTTTAAATTGTGGTTAGTCTTCTAATTACTAGGAACTAAACTTGATGAATGGGCATGGCCTACCACTACCAGGACTACCATACATTAATTGTTCCATGCACTCTTGCTAGTTTTAAAATTTAATAGATGAGAATAATTTGGAAGAATCTTCTTTCGTTTACTTTTTTTTTAATCAAGAAAAAGAAAATGATTTCGTCTACAACATTGCAAAACAGCTTAATTAGTAATTATTAGTTAGCTAGGTAGTGATAGTTTCATGCTCATGCATGTATACATGGACACTTCTAATTATGACATTTCGTGGACCAGAGGAGAAGCAGAATTGAGAAAGACCATCCATGTGCACATCACATATCAATTCCAACAACATAATGAAATTGAAGGAGATAATGAAACTCCGACCTGTACAGTGTAATAATGACATAATTGGTTGCATATAATCTTTTTGGATTAGATGCCAAATATAATGTTCTATGAAACCAATCCTGCCAGCCTGTCCCACTTACCCACGTACCAAAAGCCTCCATATTTTCTTTCTGGCAAAGATATTGCTATGTTCAACAGGTAAAAAAATTATTTATTTTATTTTGGGTTAAAATGTAGGCATAATCCTAATTTTATATTATAAGAGAATCCAAGATTATTTCATTTTAAAATCAGGCTAGACATTTTTTTAATTTAAAAATTTGATTGCTCTGAATAATAAGGGAAAAACTTCACCTAGGAGCTAGAAGCATTCTCGGATTGCGTTCGAAAATGTCCAAATTTATGCTTCATGGCCAACCTTACCCTAAAATTATGTTATGTTTTAAAGTATACTTCTTTAAATAAAATAAATTAAGAAGAGAGAAATGTTAAATTACTTAAAATTGATGGGTTTTTGTCACTTTACGCGTAGACCTATTATGAAACTGGTAATTGACTTTCCCTTTTTGTAAAAAAATTATTACAAATTTTCAAATTATTTTTTTAAGATTTAATTGAGATTATTTTGTTACAAAATAATGATCGAATGAACTATCGTTAAACGTCACGTTGAAATTGTTTTATTATTAAACCATAATTATTAAATTCACGGTTCAAAAGTTAGAATAATAAAATAAAAAATTAAATATAATAAATTATATTATGATATAACATAAAATTTATTAAAGGTCTCAAAATTTGTAAACACGAATCTGTTCATTCTAAATACAATAAAAAAGGCTTTAGTATTTACAATATTGTGAGAGGGAGATCAGCAAAGGTTGGTTTTAGTGAAAGA